TCATGTAATTAATAAATACAGTCCATCTCAGTATAAAAGTTGCTGTTCAGGAAGCGCTAAAGACTCCCTACATGTTTCACTTGAAATTGAATGAATATAGTGAAACTATTACCTTTAGCGTCACTATTAAAGTGTTCACACTAATATAATATATATTTGGAATATATATAATGAAATAGCCTATTCAGTGCCACTGTTGCTGTCACTGTGCAGATTAGCTGCTAAAAGAGAAACTTTGACTCAACAGAGGGAGCAAAATTCATAAGGGTTACTTAGATATGCACAAATAAAATTCAGAAATTGCATATTGCATAGTTATAAGCTCAGGAGAGTTAATTTTGTTTGATATTGTCCTTTTAATTATTGATTAGAAAAGACAAAAAAATATATATATATAATTTAAAGAAGAAATTTCAGATGAAATTCAGGCAGACAATATGTAGTTGAACAAAGCTTGGAGGAAAAAACGGAAAAAATAAACTCTAGTTGCTCCACTGGTGGTCCCCTAGCTCTGACCTCCTTAAACCACAATAGCTGAGTGTGTGGTCACTTCATTTTAGTAGCTGAGTTTGACCTTCAGCAGGTGCAGTTCCCACTGAAAATTGTCAACACATATCTACAGACTAACTTAGGAATTAGCAGAGTTAGTCATAAGAAAAGCTTTTATATTTATTAATATGTTTTCAAATGAACATTTTATCGCAACATCTAGGTTGTGAAAAGGTCACTGACCACATATTGATCAAAGTTTGTTTTGGGTTTTTTAGCTCAGTTTAATGCCATAATGAAAGTAATCATGTGTTTATTCATTATGTATAAAAAAGTCACATTTCTGAAGATATTTAGAAAATGAATGAACAAACAGAACCTAACCACCATATATCTATCATGAAGTCACCTAATAGGTTAGATATAGAGAGCTGCAGGGGAGTTTTGTTCCATCATCTACCCTCATCTATTAAATTGTACAGTAGGAAAGGCTCCTATAATTATGGAGCATCATTTTGAAGAAGATGATTCTTATTATTTTTAGGGGAAAATATATTTTGTGTCACGTGTTTTCAAAACTCTCTGCATAAAAGCTTTCAGGTATGCTGCTAAAATAAAAATATGGACCGTTTGACACAGAAGAGAACTTTAAATGGAGATATCAGAGTTACAGTTCACAGAAAATACAGCCTGACTGTTTTACATACATCTCAGGCTTTATAACCAACAACCATACCATACCAAATTTATTTAAAAAGCACTTTCAACACCCAACAGGACCAAAGTGCTTTACACAATCATAAAGTACAAATAATCAATCATAAAACAATAAATAAATTGGTGTATAAAAGTAGTAATAAAAGAAAGACAACATTAATTGCAGCCTTTAGAAGTATGTGTTCATGATCTTTATGGAAATCTTCATATCTGTTTAATGTGAACCACAGTTCCTCTGATCAGAAGTTCATAATCATCTTAAAATTGCTATAAATTTTAATGCTTTACTCTTACATCCTATTGTCAGAATTTGGTAAGGAGGAAGGAAAAGCCTGATGGAAGTAGAGAGAGCAGATAACACTGGGGAGTATGCCTTGAAACGGAAGCAGTGTTGTGAAGGAGGGATGTTTGAGTTGGAAGGACTGCAGAGAGATTTCCGCTCAGGAGCGGTGGGTTTCACTGGAGCAGATCTCTTTATTTGCCTCTGTAAATTCTTACTCATCCAGGTCAGGGCAACTACAAACAGGCTTAAATTAGAAGGCAGCCAGACTTTCACAGATTTTTTTTAAAGACATTTCGACACCTATCCAGGAGTTTTTGTCAGTTCTGTTGGCTCAGAGAGCAATCTGTAGTTGGAGAGCTGATGTTTTTAAGCAGCATTGAGGTCTATCCTCCTGCACACATTCCAAGTCAGACGCAAATCAAATATCCACCTCTTGTTCTTCTGGATTGTTGGAGCTTTTGTTGTGTATTGGCTATGTGATTGGTCTTTTGTATTAGAATGAGAGTGCTTTTGTATTTTCTTTGGAATAAGTTTGATGACTGAATTTCAAATGCTTGGAAGATGAGACTGCATCCCACCCCTTCTGTTCAGCTTTTCTCTTTTCTCCTTAATTCCAATGCAACAGTTATGATTGGATGGATTACAAAAATCTTTTAGCATATTTAAAAAATCTACGCTGACATGCAAAAGGTTTTTTCAACACTTTGAGTTTTTTATTGTAATTTTTTTATCATTTTGAAGTCAAACTTCAGGGTTCTTTGATGGACTTTATGTGATAGACTAATGCAAACAGTTGCAGAACGGAAGTGAAAGGTTTCTGAAGGTTTTTCCAAATAAAAATATAAAATGTGTTTTATGCATTTGTATTTAGCTCAGTTAAGTTAATAATTTGTAAATAACACATCTGGCAGTTATTGGAGCAACTCATGTTGGCTCTCTTACTATTAGCTTTGCCGTATAACTGGAAAATACCTTATTTTTGCCAAATATTCTAAAAACAAAACAACTGGATCACATCTGACCACAGCAAAGCAAGGTAACAATTGGGTAGACTATTTTATTATTAATTTTTCAGTTTTCTCTTAAACCCAGTTAGTTGCTGTGAGCCCAGAACACAAATATAGTTATTATTTACTCGTCTGAAAAAAAATCTAAAATCGTTTATAAAGTTTCTTCTATTTTTGGATTAAATAAAGCAGTGGTATGATGGCCTTTCTCATGAAATTTGTGACTGTGGTGGAACAAAATGTGGATAGGATAAACGGATATAAATATTTTTGGAAAACACTTTATTGGAAGAAAAATATTAGTCAGGCTCATTACATAATTTCATCATGAGCTAAATATGTCGTTTGCTTGTAACACAACTAGGTTGTAGTTCACTAGGATTCTTAGGTTATTGGCTCTAGTCTTTACGATACAATGCAAAACGTTTCTGTCAGGGGACTAACAAAACAAGAGCTTTTTGGTTCTCACAGGAACTGAATTACACTCAGACCTCTTGATTCATCACTCAGTAACCTTAAAAGCCCTCCAGCCCTACATGAATTCATGTTTTATGACTATAATGGCTCTCATATGATTCAGTTTTTCCTCTCCTCCTCAGGATCTCTCTTGGCTCTTTTAGTGATTGTCCTCATGTACTTAAATGGTACTCCTCAGGAGGTCATTTTTGAGTTGTAGAGTATTTTGCATTTCCAGATTTCATAGATTAAACATTTGATTAAAGCTCACATATGCTTGTTTTTTCTCTCTTATTGCATCTTTTTTTTGGTAATCAAATTATTACATTATACTAAAACTATTACTCTTATTAGCACAAAAACTGTATTTTGCATTTTTCTATGTTTTAAAGATTCAATGATCTTGTAAGTCCAATTTTCAATTTTCTCTTTTCTAATTATTTATGTCTTATTCTTTACTCTTTTTATTTATTCATGTGTTGAAATCCCTCATCTTATACTCACTCGTGTAAAATGAGAAAAGTGTGAAATGCAGTTTGGTCACTAGGTGGGTATAGAGAGCAAAAAAGAACATAAGCGAACAGAAGGGTTTCTGTCTCCCCCTGGTGGTTAAAAACAAAAGTTATCCTTTTGCAGGCGTTTTCAGTCCAGTGGACATTAAAAAAGTTAAGTTGCACTTTTTTGATGTTTACACTTAGATGTACAACACATGTTTTGATTTTAAAGTAGACTGACTTAAACAACTTAGTACAACAGAATTTTAAAAGATCCCTTTCAGTACCTGATGTCTTGCTTTTGCTTGTCCTTATATAATCTCCTTACCCTCTTTAACATTTTCAACCATACTGCCTGAAAGTGAGTATATTTCTTCTGCATAGAGAGACATTTATGGAATAGAAAAATAGAATAGAATAGAAAATCCCTTTATTGTCCTGAGGAAATTAGGAAATTGTGGCACTACAGCAGCAAAAGCTTATAGCAAAACTGGTCACACAATGTTGACCTTAGAAAAATATGTAAGAGTAACAGATACAGTAAGTAAACAAACGAAGAAAGTACTGTACTGTGTAGTGTTTCTACAATATAAATACTCTGTACTGTATCTGGAGAACAAGTCATCAAAACACAGCTGTGGACATTTTTACACTTTTAGGGTTAGGGTAGTATAGGGGCTGTATTACCTTTCTAAGACATTATACTGTAATACGCTGCACTTCTGCCTCCAATAACTAAAATACATCTTTGACATGTTTGCAAGAATGAATATTTTTATTGGAGTCACTATTTTTGAATTTACTTGGTATGTACAGCACTTTGAGGCAGTTGTGGTTGTTTTAAAAGGCTTTAAAAATAAAGCTTCAGCGTAATATTTCATAAACTGCAGAAAACGTTGCTGTTATATTTAAGTGCAATACATACATATGGGGAATGGCGGCCTAGTAGTTAGGGCATTGCGTTTGGAATCCTGAGGTTTTGATCTCACTGCTCCCAAAGGGGATGGGTTAAATGCAGAGGTAAATATCTTACTTTTTTCCCCTTTTTTTTCAGGAAAAGGAAAAAAAAAAAGTCTTCAATTTGGGATCAATAAAGTTCATTTTTATTATTTCAAGAGGATATTTGTTTATTCCGCATTTAGATCAGTCACACTGACAGTAGGTGTCAGTGTGACAAGCAGCAAAAAACGACCTATATACAAGGACTGCTGTTTTAATTTGAAGTAACCGCCCTCTTTATAGACCAGTATTCACAAAGATAGAATAAAACCTAGAGGGAACAAGCTCTGCTTTACTTTTTCTTTATTATGGCATCTTCTTCCTTTATCTGTCTGTTGATAATTGACACTATTTTCAAGCCTCCCATCTCCATTAACTCCTCTTTACACTCCATATGATCTCAGTCTCACGGAACTATCTCAGATTTTTCTGCTTTTATCAATACTGAAATGTTTCATGATATAATTTTCTGAATTATGCTTTAATTGTACATCACTTTGAAATTTGGTAGATTTTACTCTTTTTTTTTTTTTTTTATAACCTTTTCACACTCAGGGTCTCCCAGGGCCTCTTGGTCCTCAGGGCCCACAAGGACCCCTAGGGCGACCAGGGGATCCTGGTATTCAAGGACAAAAGGGGCAGAAAGGTGACCAAGGAATTGGTGGCATCATAGGTCCAAAAGGCGGCATGGTAAAACTCATACGATACTAAATAAGAAAAGAAATGATTAAATACGAATATATGAAAATAAATCTGCTGTGTGTGATTGCATGAAACCTTTTTCCTCTGAAGGGAATGACTGGTGTTCCTGGGTTCTCTGGAAACGATGGAATTCCTGTGAGTATTGTTTCTCAAACTGCCACTGAACTTCGGTGTATGCTATCAGGGTGTCTGATCCTGTTTGTGTTCTTCCCCCTGCAGGGACACCCAGGACAACCTGGATCCAGAGGGAAGCCAGGAGCAGACGGCTGTAACGGGACCAAAGGAGAACCAGGGTTCTCAGGACTACCGGGTTATTTGGGGCCCCCTGGAAATCCTGTATGTGACATTGAATCAATGCAGAAATCTGTAACTGCATCTACTCTCATGGAAACCTTTTTAATTGCCCCTGTTTTTCATTTCAGGGACTATATGGCAAGAAGGGAGAGAAGGGGGATTCTCTGGATGTCAACGTTTACATGCTGCGCTTCAGGGTGAGAATCAAACATTTATAACATCACAGTTATAAATAAAACTGCTATTACCTCTTTGTTCTCTGCTATAATCTGTGGGCCTCTTCTTAGGGAGACCCAGGGACACCTGGAGAAAACGGATGGCCGGTAAGACTCGATTCATTTAATTCTGTTGAATATCTTAAACTCATACTTGCCCTTAACTCTCTTTCATTCCTTTTTTCTTTCAGGGGCTTCAAGGAAGACCAGGGTCCTCAGGTAACAGAGGCCCTCAAGGACCCAAGGTGAATGTCTCCATGCATCTCACAGCTTTAATCATTTTAGTCTTTCTGATACTGAATCCATTGTCAAAAAACAGATTTTTAAAGAATGTATTTGTCTTCTGTTAGGGTCCTCCGGGTCCTCCAGGGGTCCGTGGACCGAAGGTAAGAAAGCACAAGAAAGAACAAATGTATTTGTTTACATTTGTGTGTACTACTTCTGTATATATGTGGAGATTACAGCCATGCTCTGAGTCTAAAGGTAGCAGCATGTAGAGATTTGATCAGCTTGCTGTTTATCATTTCTGTGCAGGGTACCATGACCAAAGTGTTGAAGGGAATCAAAGGAGAAGCAGTGAGTACTCATGCTGATTTTATCTATTATTGGTTATGACTGAAGGTTCAAGGTCATGAAGCATAACATGTCTGACATGGTTTAAAGATTAAAATGTGATTCTCCTGCTCAACTTCAGTTTAATGCACAGAAATCAAATATAACCTGAAATTTTATTGGTAAACTAAACAGGCAAAATTCTGGCTCCCAGCAGTCGATGAGTACTTATGGCGGTTAGAATAACTAATGCTGGTGGCAAAAAAAACTTTTCCAGAAATTATTATTTTAATAAATGATAATATTTCTTCAAGTGACCATTTTTAATGAATTTATTGATAATGAAATAGTAATGCAAGTGCACTCGCTCGAAGGTCAATGGACATTTAATACTGAAACTAAAAAATATGTTGAATATCTTCATTTTTTTTTTTTTTATGAATGACAAGGATTCTTAGTTTCTGTTGACAATTTTCCCCTAAAAATATATTTATTATTACATTCATACAGGGAAAACTAGCAAAACTGACTGTATTATCAATAAAAACAGCAAACTCACACAAGCACACTGCATTTCTAGTTTGGAGCTGTTCTTAACTTGTTTTTTTCTTGCAGGAGTTTTTCGTTTTATGAATTGAGCATGTTTTTGTGTTCGCATCGTTAGGTGTTTGTAACAGCTTTTGTGATTGCGTCATTTTCTCTTTTTGCTGTGCTTTGTGTGTTTTTCTCACTGAAAAGTATTTTTTGTCTTTACAGTACTTGTAAAGACAAAAAATACTTTCCAGTCCAGTATTTCATTCAAATGCTCAATAATGTATTTGAATTACATTTAACCCCATGGCAATTTTACATTACACATAGTAATCTGTAGTAATTCAAGTATATAGTTGAAAGGTATTGATATATCTATATCTATGGGAAGTTGAGTGGAAGGAAAAACTGTGGTATAGAAGCAAAAGAGATACCTGTAACCTTTAGAGAACCGCAAAGCCAAACCTATTTCTAGTTTATTAGCTTAATGTGAGATATATTCAATTATTTTCCAGTTCAATATACAGTATTTGGCATATATCAATGTTCTTCTCAAAAACTGGGCTATTTGATCCAAAGCAGTCTGAGTTCCACTTAAACATGACAGCTAACGAACCAAAAAAAAATGTTTGTTTGGCAGCAAAATGACACCTACTTGATCAGACTTATTGTTGGTTTTCTAATGTAGGATTTAATTTAGAGGGCTGAATGCAGCGTCATCTTTATGAGTAACTCCATGATTTCTCAGTCTGTTGGTACAAACCAGGTCTGCGTTTAGATTTCAGAAACACCAAAGGAGATTGTTTGATTTTGTGGCACAGCAGTGTTGCCATTTGCTCTCAGATAACCTGGAAGTTACAGGTCCAGAGCCCCTAGTTGCAAAAATGTACACAGTGCTGCTTTAAGAGTTTGGGTATGGATTCAGAGCTTTAAAAGCCTCAACACACAGAGATATCCAGGACATGAGCTAGAACTGCTCAGCTCATTGTGTTTAGCCGCTTCTGAGTCAGAGATAGTTGAGAAAAGGGACCGTTACTCAGTGTTTAATAGAGCTCTTTTCAGATTCCAGCTAATTTGGCTATTTTGGAATCAAGTTCTCAAAGTGAGAAAGAAGGATTTTCCCAAGTCTTTGATGATTGTTGGAGTCATGGCATCTGTGTTTCAGTCTAAAGTGGGCACAGTAATCTAGGAGAAATTTCATTTTGCCCATATGCTGATTAAATTTGATTAATAAAAAAACAAAATATTAGTGTCATATTCTGGTTTAAATGAAAATACATTTTCAGGCTCTGTTTAAATATTCTGTTAGTGAGTTTCCATATTAGAAACTAATTACTTTAAAATGTGTACTTTACTGTGATACTCTGACTGAGATGTAACTGCAGACGTATAAAAGTCAGGCTTGTTTATCCCATTATATAATCCTTTACTTTTAAAAGCTCCTTTAAGCGTCAGTAGATGCTTTTATTTTGAAGTTCTGTTTTTTCTTGCCTTTGACTACGTCCTCTTTTAAGCATAAAATTAATGTCTTTGTTTAGTTGAAGGGAGTTTAAATGAGCAACGCTGACACATAAATATATCTCTAGCCTTTATAGAGCTGGTATTCACATTTTGTTGCTTTTTAAACACATTACTGTAAAGAAGTTATGCTAATTTCTGATAAACAGAAGCAAAATGAACCTTAATGAATTCAGGAAACAATTCAAAACTGTTCTTGTTCTGAAAAGTTATTCTTTTTCATATATTTCCGAACGTTGTTTTTTCAATTATCAAATTGGCAAATTAGATTTTTAAAAATAGATTTAGGTTCACTGAAGATAATCTAAGTTACAAGTGAACCAGCTGCTTTCAACTTAAATGGCTGACAGCTTTTGTGTCTTCATTTTTTTCCTCACTGAATGTGTTATTAATTAGAGCTAAACCCGCGGCTAAGTTGCTAAATCTCATTGTGATTTCTACTTTGTCCGCAGGGAGAGATCGGACTACCAGGCCCACCAGGAAACTTCACTGAACAGTATCGTCTGCCTCCCCCTGTAATCAACATTAAATGCTCATTTTTTAATCCACAAACCCACTCTGATTTAAATTAAATTAAAAAAATTCCAACGTAGCGATAAAAGATTAAGAAAAATCTGAGTTACAAACACGTTGATGTATCATGAGAAATATTTTACATTTTCAGGTACCACCTCAATTCAGAGGGGACAAGGGAGAAAGTGGAGATCTGGTATGGAAGAAACATATTTATATATATGTCCACATAATTATTTTAGTTTTATTATCTTCAAAACAGAAATAAAGTTTCCACTGCTAATCCTTTGGTTGGTTTATTCCAGGCAGACAACCATGACAACAAAGGAGAAAGTGGTATAACGGGATTCCCTGGGCCCCGGGTAAGCAGGGTCACCACTCTACTCATTTTCAACCTTCTCATTTTTTACTTGTGTAAAATGTTTATTGTTTGCTTGATTTATACTTTCTTCAGGGTGAAAGTGGTGCAGATGGGCCTCCTGGGCTGAGGGTATGGTAAAACTTTTCCAATTAGCATTTGATTGGAGGCCAAACTTTATTTTCTGACTTGTCTTAAAAAACACTGTTTCAGGGTGAGCCTGGAGATCCAGGGCTAAACGGAGTAGATGGTCCTAAGGTGAGACAGCAGCTAGAGTTCCTGTATGGAAACCTTTTTTAAAGTGACCAATTAGGTTTCTTTTAAAGGGGTCATAGAATGCAAAACCGAGTTTACCTTGTCATAGATGAATAACGATAGTTCAGTGGGTAAAATGGACGTACAGAGAAGTTCAAACCCCATCAGCACCTCCTTTCTATGCAAATCTCACAATTCTAAACTTCCACCATAAAAACGGGTGAATTCAAACAAAGCCTTGAATTGACATAAACTCTGGGATGTTGCCTTATTTGGTTCTGGCCTGTACTTTTTTCACGCCCTGAAATTGACATACAGACCAGCCCACTGGTTCACGCCCCCAAGAACATGAATAGAGGTAGATGTAAGACACCAGTTTATCTGTTTAGCCTACAGCTGGGTTTACTTCTACAAGAATTACAAAGCAGGCAGTTTCTCTATTGAAAATGAGCCTGAACCACGGGTGTAAATGCAGTGTTCCAGGCTGCACGGAGAAAGAGGAACATTTTGAGTCTTCCCAAGGATCCGAAGACTCGACAGGCATGGATTATTTTTGTGTATCAGAAGATCCCTGCAAAGTTTAAAGCTCAGCGTTTCATTAGCTGTAAGCATTTTACTGAAGACAGCTTTCGAAATCTTGGACAGTTCAAAGCACGACTTGCTAAACTTCTTTTATTGAAACGGCGGGTGTTCCGACCTTAAGGCCATCACAACCGCAGGCTGGAATAAATAAAATAAATAAATAAAATCAAGTAAAATAAAAAAAAGTATTATTTTTGTTAAGCTGTTTATAGCAATGCTAGCATATCTATGGTGACCAGATTTGGGTTTCTGAGGACAGAATGCTTCCAAAATCCTGGACGATTTTTTTTAGGTATGAAAAGTAGGACATGTCCAGGAAAAAGGGGATGTCTGGTCATCCTACCATATTAACAATTTCAATGTTAGAGTGTGTTAGTGTTTGTTGCTATGATGCGTCTTTGCTCAGCAGCTTTGCTCGTTGTAAACCAACCAATTAGCGCACAGCTCATCTAAATATTCATGAGCATACCATAAAAGGAAGAAAACCTGTTGTTTCATTCTAGGGCTTTTAACCAGGCTTGCATTAGGGCTCATAGAACAGCAAATATGCCATTTTCAGCCCAACCAATGTTACACATCCTATTCAGAGACCTTATGGACCAGCACCAAATGCTCTATATAATCATTTTAAGACCCCTATAAATTTATCTTTGTGAATATATTTAGGATTTTGTTAACATTTTGTGTCCTTGTACAATATTTTCCAGCTCCAATGACTTAAAATGAAAATCAAATGCTGTTAACATCTCTAAGAGTATGCATTTTCTCTGTTTCAGGGAGTCAGAGGTGATCCAGGAGAGTTGATTACTTCAGGAGGTACTGCGCTTCCTGGTGAGATGATTAAAGACTGAACAAAAAGTCAAACTTAAAGCTCTGTGTTAATATGTTTAGAGACATGTACAAAAGGTAGTGAAGCATGCTGAGGATAAACTGATATAACAGTGTGTGAATAAGCAGCAATTCTCCTGCAGCTCATCCAACTTCATTATCTTGTCCGCTTAGCTGTGCTTTTATTTGTGTGTAGTAATTTATAACAATAATTCTGCAACATCTTTGTTTCTTGATAAGGAAACACCTTTTTGTATACACCTCCTTAGCTCATTTTTCACACTGTAAATATACGCCACCACACGTATTATTTCCTTTCTTTCCTCACAACTTCAGCAAATGTAAATAAAGCACATGATCAGCCGCTGTCATAGAAGAAGTGAAATGTCCTGTTTCACATTTGAGAACAGCTGAACAATGATGTTGAAGGTGACTGAATTATAGTGAGACACTGCGAGGAAAAAGGAGCATTACGCTGAGTAAAAAATTAACCTTAGTGAAGCAAATTAACTTCCTTGTTGTAAAACCCAGAGGGAGAAGTTTCGTTCATGTGGATGAACCACTCAATGAGATCCTGATCCTAAATATACTGTACCTGGTTTCAGGTCCATCTGTCTCATAAGACAAAATATTTTAAAATGACAGATGATGAACTTGTTTTAAAAAAATGCTCAGACAGGTAAAACTGTAAAGGTACAAATTAGTTTACCCTTTCACCTCCTGAGAAGCCAAGTTCCCAGTGTGTCTAACTAGCCACAGTTAGGGTTTGGTGGAAGTTGGTTGAGGGCCCAAATCCAGAGATGAGGAGGCAGAGATGGGTTCTCGAAGATTTAATCAAAATCCAAAGGCAACAGAAGCAAAGTCCAAAAAAAAAAAAACAGGAGATACCAGAAAGTAGTGATGTTGTGAGATGAGCCAAGGCTTCGAGGCATGTGTCGGATAGTGGAGGGGGGGTGTTTCCGCGAGGTGCGTATCGAGGCTTCTTTCATTTGGGGGAGGAGCCAAAATGGATGGCGTCTGAAGCCTCACTGCCCCGCCATACTACGTGACCATTTCGGGAAGTGGTTCAGCCCGCCCTGAACTTCTGCAGGCATCTGAACAGCCTCAGTACTCAGTGAAGATGTGGGAGTTTGTAGGAAAGTTGCTGTCAGTTGGATAGAGTTTGGATATATTTAAAGAATAGATTGGTTGAAAAATCAACCAATCTAGTTGGTTAAAACTAGTTTGGTTAGATTAAACAATGTAATGATCAAAATCTGAGCAAGAAAATTGGTTACAGTTATGACATTGGTTTTAAGTGATATTTATTTCAGGGGAGTTGTTACTCTGCTACTGGCATGAGATGTATGATATGGGCTTCCTCTCCTGTGGTTATTGGTTTGAAACCCACCTCACACTTTTGAAAGTTGCAATAAAACACCAGTATTTTGACTAATGTGACTAATTTTTATTGGTTTGCCTTTGTACAAATATAGATTTGGTAAAAACACTACCAAAGTTAGATTGGTTGGTTTGACCAAAAGGTTGGTTGAAAACATAACTTACAACCCGATTAAAACTAACAACTGAGGAAAAACTATTATGCTTGGAATAAAAATGACTAACACCTTTCATTTTGCTCATCATTGCCCAATTTGCGCAAACACTTTACTCTGCTTCAGTTTTTTTCCTATAAAATGTAGGAGCAGTTTTGGTGTTAGGTTTGGAACTAAGGTGTGGATTGAGGTTAGGTCGGGTGCAGGGTTAGGTATAAACCAGTTATGGTTAGGTTTAGAGTCATGGTTAGGCTGTAGAAATGGGTAAATGAGTGGAAGTAAATGGAAAGTCCCCACAAGGATAGATAATTTTATACTGTGTGTGACTGCACAAATAATATTGCTAAAAAAAAAAAAAACGGGTGAAACTAAATTGACATTTATTTCAGTAACTTGGTTCATTAAGTGAGACAAATTTTAAAATGAATATTACACAGCCTTCATTTCTGTTAATTAGGATTTTTCATTTAGAGTTTTGAAAACAGGGCATTTAAGATTGGAGTGTTACATCAGACCAATAATAAAAAAAAAACATTTTGTGCAAGAGATATGTGTTTGATAAGGAGTACGTTTAATACCTGCTTTTAGGTTGTTTTTTTTAATAGTTGCTTTTAATCTAGGTTTATCAAAACTAGGTTTATTGGATGGCATATTCTACTCTATATAATACTGTATCAGTGCAGGTCAGGTCAGGACGTTAAATAAGTGCTGGACTGATGTGCTCTCTGAATAAAAAATATTTCAGGTTTCTCATCAAGTTAAAACCAGGACTAGCCATAGTCGTTATCTTATACACCTGAGTCCTTGTTTTCCAGGAATTTGGGCTGAACCTTTGGTGTAGGTTGGATAAATGTGTTCCACTAACTAGACAGTGTCTGCTTAAGGTCTTCCTGGATACCCTGGTGAGGAGGGGCCACAAGGAGAGAAGGGTCCAACTGGAGATCCAGGCTACCCCGGACCTCCCGGACCCCCTGCCTCTAGCACACAGCAAGGTTTGTAAAAATAAATTTATAACTTTTTGCTATTCAGTTCTCATCATTCAACAAAATGTCTCAGCTTTTTATGCAGTTAGGTGTGGTTGCCTTGCTGCACTTTGATCTCTTTGGAAATAAGCAAACTTGCTGCTCTCTGGCACTAAACTGTTTTTTTTTTATGATAAAGAAATGCAGGTTTAGTTGCATCATTATGCATTAAAAAGTTGCATAATAATATGTTTGTTTTTTTAAGCAACTCCCATATTTGTCATTTCTAATAAAGCTATCCAAACCAACCTGGCCCTATGTAAAAACTTAATTTCCCCCTGAACTTTAAAGATGACTGTACCACCCTTGGAGGATATAACCAACATGAAGCTTTTGCCAGAACTAAGTCTTCTGCATTTTATCTCACTTCTTTAAATATCAGTGGCCCACTTTAGGTCAGACAGGACCATTTTGCTTGGATTTAGGTCCAGACTTTGAATTTTCTGCCATACCATGATCACTTATGCACCACAAACAAAAAGTCGTACAGGATCTTTTGGGTTTTCTTTTAAAGAGCACGTTGAATAGTTCCGTCAATCACAGCAAGTGATCAAAGGCCTGAAGCATCAGGGCAGTCTTGGATCGTTTCAATACCACAGCCTTGTTTAAATGTCGGTATGGTTTTCGTTTTTTTTGTTATTTTCTGCAGTTTCATCAGTTTTATGCCATATTTAGCAAAGTTCTCTAACACTATAGACAGCATTTTGAGGCTCTTTAGTGAACTTAATGAGCTTTCTATATGGTCTTTGAGTGATTTCAGAAGGTCAGCAACTCCTAGGATGGTTCACCATTATTTAATGGTAAATGGCATGTACTTATATAGCGCCCTTTTTGAAGTCAGGAGACTTGACCAAAGCGCTTTACAATACATTCATTCACCCATTCACACACACTCACACACTGATGGTGGCAAGCTACATTGTAGCCACAGCTGCCCTGGGGCTCACTGACGGAAGCGGGGCTGCCGTACACTGGTGCCACCGGGCCCTCTGACCACCATCAGTAGACAATGCAGTCGAAGTGTCTTGCCCAAGGACTCCACGACACTGAAAGTCGGAGCTGAAGCTTGAACCGTCAATCCTTCGATTTCAGGGACAATCTCCTACATTCGATGCCACTGTCGCACTGTTCGCCAACTGTTCTCACAATGATTCATAGAGGCCTTAGAGCCTTAGATATGGCTTTGTAATCAATTTACTAACAGCTGGTTGTCAGTGAATTTCTTTCTCATCTCTTCTAAATTTCCTCAGGGTCGGGATACTTAGTGTTGCCTTTTGAGACATTTATCTTCTTCATGTTGTAAATCCCTTTATTTTCCCACAATGGGGAAAAAATTCCTCCCCCTCCTGTCAGACAGAAGATGTTAAAATAATTTCTTGTTTTGGCTGAACATAATCAAGTCTGCCTATTTATAGTATTTAAGCGTTGTAATTTGTGATTTTAGAATGTTGGGGGAAAGTTTTGTTTTTTACATGGGTCCATGTCAATCACCAAATAATTTTAACTTTTTAATGTAATTAGGTTATCTTTGTCCAAGAATACATTTTGATTTAGTTAAAATATAGGAAAAAAGCTATTAAGGGGTAATTACCTTTTTATATGAATATAACTTCTTATTTTTCCACCATGCTAACTTTTCTAGATCATCCTTCTGCTATAAAATGAAAGTAGTGAACTGCATTCAGTTCTCACCTGTAGTGTGGGAATAACGTACTTTAACTGGAAGCTACTTAATAAAGCAGGATTCTAAAGAGCTGTTTAAACATGAACATTGAACTAATAGAAACACCTTTTTTTGTTTGTTAGCTTTCGTTTCCTTTGGCCCTTTTGGTTTTAAGGGGGAACGAGGAGATAAGGGTCTACCAGGAGACCCAGGAAGACCTGCTGTCTCTCCAGGATCTCCTGGACCGGATGGAAGGCCAGGGAGCAGAGGCCCTCCTGGAATCAAAAGATCAAGTAAGTTATAACATGGGAGGGGAGAGTCATTTCAGATTTGTTCCCATGTTTCTTTGCTTTAACTCCTGTTTTTTTGGTAGTGAAAGAGTTTTTCAAAGGAGATAAAGGATTCAGGGGACAACCTGGCAATGGAGGATTCAAAGGAATAAAAGGTGCCATTAGCACACAGAGAAAAAAGATAAAATCATTCTTAACCTGTGTGACATATTTCCAACCTGACAATGTTTTGCTTAAACAGGAGATCATGGAGAATGCAAGTGCAGTGGTGATAATTTCCCCCGTGGTTTAGCTGGTCCTCCCGGTGAGCCTGGTGATGCTGGGATGACTGGGGAGTTTGGGTATGATGGGGATATAGGAGACCCAGGTCCCCGAGGAGCAGATGGTTTACCTGTAAGGAAAAGATCACCTCAGTCCTTTTAGTTATAATCCTTTTAAAAGTCAGGTCCTTCACATTTAACTGTTTTATGATTCATTTTAGGGACCTGCTGGCATTAATGGTTTCCAGGGGCCCAAAGGTCGAAAAGGAGAAACAGGTGTTGCAAGACAAAAAGGTGCAGTTTGTTTATTTCTGTTCATCTTAAGAGGGAAAAACCTCTGCAGTGCATTTTGTTTATAATCAGGATTACATGTTTGCAAACATTATTATTTTGATTGGACTTTATCCTATAGGATATCCAGGGGACCCAGGAGACCCAGGGAATGATGGAATTCAAGGGATACCCGGTGCTCCTGGCCCAAACGGCCTTAATGGTTTCCCTGGTAACCGCGGCCTTCCAGTGAGTTCATATCTCCAGTCTTAGGCTGTGTCCAATGTCCGCTCTAACCCTGAGATCCCTCAATCACTATAAAGAGGGGGGACTATGTAGCAGACTTTATAGTGAATTCAGTTAACTGACCGTTTGGACAGATGATCTTTACATTTTTCGCTCCCTGTTGGTCACATAACTCTGCCCTCCCCACGGTGCCTGCGCCATCTTTGTTATTAGTTGCCACTTGTTATTTGTTGTTAGTGGTCACTGTTGGATAGCAACAGCTATCATGTGGGACAACAAATCCCATGATGCTTTGCGAGGCGAGCTCACCTCGCAAAGTAATCCGGGTTATATCTGCTCGTCTATTCACTATGGATGATCGCTACTTTTTCAAGGTGCATTGTGGGAAATTTCGAGTCTACTACTTTTTCATCCACCAGATGTTCCAACAGTCATCTAAAAAGGCCTAATCACTATTTAGTGCCCTATATAGTGATTAGAGGTCATGGTGGGAGGAGGTCATGGTGCCCTATATAGTGATTAGGGCGGACATTCGGACATAGCCTTAATTAGCTTTTTCTATCGCGTACTTTAAAGTTAAATTTGTTCCTCCAATTTATTTGCTTACCTGTATTTGTTTTGAACATTGTTCATCTTTGGTGTTCCCTCATACTTAATCTCCAACTATGTCTATATTTGTGTGACCAGTGTTGTTTTTGACAGCCACCTCAAATTTATTCTTAGTCTTCAGGATGAAAACTATTATTAGTCTTAGTCCCATTTAGTTATTACGATATGTGATAGTTTTGGTCGGTTTTAGTCGACTAAAACTTAAAAATGTTTTAGTCTAGTTTTAGTCAGTTTTATGCTGCAAAAAAGTGAACCTTTACAATTTTGAAGCAGATTCTTTACCAGACTAACAGCTCTAGCCTAGTTACTACATTGCTGGGTATAGAATGCTGCAGTTCATCATTGATGTTGGGCAGAAAACTTTGATTTATAAAATTTAAAATAAAAAATATTATGAATTAATGCCCTATTTATAAAAAAAAGTGTCTTAAAAAAGTTGTGAAAAATAGCAGATCTAGTTCAACACATCATATCAGTTAATATAGCAGACAGACAAGCTGACAAAAGGTACAATACAGGAATGCTTTTAGATGTACAAGGTTTCCATTCCAAAGCAAACACTTCCTGATCTACTATGAACTATGCATTACACACACAGATATATAAAATCTTCATTACTCCAAAAAAGCAAAGAACAAAAACTTTATTCTTTCTAATTTGGCAATTGTGGCTTTATTTCTTCAATTCCTCCCTTGGTTACTGTTGCTCAGGGGTAAAAGTGGATTTAAATTCAAAGGGTTTTGATATAAAAAAAAAAGTACAGAAAGACCCTACATAATTACACGGTAAAGCCATGGCAATCCAGACCTAAATTGAATTAATATGCTAACTAAAAGTTTACATATTTAAAAGAAACAGAGAAAATCTTTTAATAACAATTCAAGGAGACATTTACATCATAATTAAATGGATAGAAACGATTAGAAATAGTTAGAGAAATATTCAAAGATCTATGTACCTTTTCACCTGGCTCTTTACCTAAAAATAAACAAAATGTAATGAAATATTTTATTTGGATATGATTTAGAGATTCTTTTTGGTAGAAATTAAAGAATGTTTAGCATCATCTCCTGTGAGCTGGAAGAAATAAAATCTTAAAAATTAAACTGAAGGATTTTTTACGCTTTGCGGAGGATGATCATTTACATATAGTTTATTAAGTAGTGAGAGCAGGAAGAGCCATACTGCTGAGAGCGAACCATCGGTGTGGAGCGAGAGAAGCGCAGACTCTGAGCTACGTCCGCACAAAGACATTGTTGTATAGGAAGATCAGTTTGTCAGAGTTCAGCGTGCAGTGCTGGTGTTCTGTCAGACACCCGGACAATTCTGGATTATTTTCACCCCGCCACTGCGGCCATGATCCATCTGTTGTCATGCAGAATTAGCATCGCTGCACAGCAAGTGGTCTGCGTGATCAAACAGGACACAGCAGCACGGTTGATACTGCTTAGCAGATTGCAGCACAATGATGCAGTTTCTGACTGACGACTCACTCATTTTTATTTAGTCTCTTCTTGTTTATTAAAACTCACACCCATAACTCTCAAGTTTTCGTCAACAAAAATCCATGGTTAGCTCGTCAGTTTTAGATATTGTCATGAATAAAAGGAGCGTTAACGAAATTATTTCATCATCGTCATTGTTGCCGAAAACAACACTGTGTGTGACACATGAATAAATAGCCGCAGAATAGTTAAAAATTGGTGCCTAAATTGGAGATTGTAGAAGGCTCAATTTTTAAGACTTTGGAGATTATCACATTGCTCAACACTATTGGACTGATCTTCAAAAGCTATGCATGTATTAAAACCTGTGCAAAATTGCTTCAAAACATGTAACAGATGTTCATACAGCATTATATGTCATTGCTGCTTGAGCAATCTTTCTATATTATCTGCAAATTATTGCACGCACAACATTTATTTTGCTTTCCTTATTTGGAATGTTTAAAGATCCGGCTTTATATATAAAGTGTATTTACAATGCTAACCCTCATAATTTTGAAACAAATCACTTATTTTCACCTTATAATTGAATGTTTTTTGTGGTAGCGTGTGGTACAAATGGTTTTTAGATTAACACATTTTTTTTTCATTATAAGAAAATAAAAGATTATTATATTAGAGTCCAGAAATATATATGTCAGAAAATCTATGTGCTTGTTGAAAAGAGAAATTCCCACAGTCAGACCATTTGCAGGCCTGTGTGGGCAAATATAGTCTTGCCAAGATGTCAGATGCGTAAACATTTCTTCAAAATGAGGATGGGTTATTGTAAATAGTTTATTTTAAAGAGATTTGTCTGTTTTATAGTTAACTTGTAAATGATCTATGTCTATGAGAAAGTTTAGAAATGATTTATCTTTTTCAAATCACACAAACCCGTTTTTTATAGATGCCACTGTAGATTGAAGCATGTTTCGTTTCCTTGTGTGTCTTTATTGTTTGGGTGATATTAACAGGGTGAAGGTCCTATAGGAGAACGTGGAGACAAAGGGTTCCCTGGATGGCCCGGTACGGCTGGTCCTTTAGGAGAGATAGGAAAACCAGGTGAAAACTTTGCAGGTATCAAAGGACTGCGTGGTCCTTCTGGAGATGAAGGCCTCCCTGGCTATGATGGAATTCCTGGTCCGCCTGGAAGTCCCGGTAAGAACCAGCTAACTAGTTCCTTTCCTAGCACATGTTTAATGCCATTTTTGTTTTGCATATTTGTTTAATGTTTTTTTTGCTACCAGTTTGTGCTCTATTTTTTGTTCTTTATGTAATTTTCACCTCTCTTTTCAATGGGTCCTCTTTTTAAATTCATTACAAAGGAATGAATTTGGAATAAAAGTGGCTTCTGGGTGAAATAATGGCTTTAAGTGAAAAATAGAAGGGGGCATGAAATTTAACTTCGCTTTCATCTGCTGTCTATTTCAAGTAAAAGCTGCATCCCCTCAAACCTGCTGAGCTTGTTTGAGACCAAGCTTGAGCTTTTGAATAACTCTTGTTCCAAATGCATCTCTTTCATTCTCCCTACTTTTCAACTGAAAGGCGGCTGTATACCAGATGGAGATGGAGGACAGGTGGATGTGACAGGTAGCTGGTATAATCATGTTTTCACCTCATTCCTGCTGTTATAGCGCTTCTTTTGTGCTTTGCATTTCAGTCGTTTAACTGGTTTGCATGATGATTTTTAAGATGATATTGGTTTGTGGTTTTCTTTGTTGAGGCAGCAGCTAATGTAAGAATGATGTGTAATTATCTAAAACCTTCACGCTGGGCAGCAGTCAATACCACATGCACCTAAACAGTCATCAGTGGCCTTATTAAGTCGCTTATTAAAGTTTTTTCTTACATTTATCTTTCAGGTGCTTGTGAACCCATCCCAGGTCCTCCTGGCCTGCCTGGACCTCGTGGATTTAGTGGAATATCAGGTTCTCCAGGTGGGTTTTTTGACTGATACATGTTAAATCTTCTATGAAGCGGGACTTTTTTGAGGTATTGCTTTGATTTCCATCCAACAGGGGATCGTGGCCCTAAAGGTGTAAAAGGTGCAAGTGGAGTGAAGGGAGAGAAAGGAGAACAAGGGGACCGGGGAACAAGCGGCTTTCCTGGACCACAAGGTTAGAAGGGACCAATGTCTGAATAGTTAGCACCTTTTCGGAGCTATGTTAGAGTTGTGCTCACATACTTTGGTACCAGGTTTGTTTGTAGGAAAGAAACAGAAATTGACTTGAATAAATGAGCTGTTTTAAAAACGATTATTTCATTTCATTTATTTCATTTCATTTCATTTATTTCAAATAAAGGTGAAAATCAAAATGATCTATTTAGCCCTTTTTGCTAAAAACATTTCCAGATTTTGAAGTCCCAGGATTTGGTTTCAGCAATTCAAAGGAACACTGAGGATTTGGGTTTCTTCTGTTTGCACTGTCAGAAGGACAATTTTTTTTTTCAGATAAGCCTGATGATGTTTGGTAAAATTGCAAGGAAATCTGCATTTCTCTCTCAGTCCTGCAGGTGGAAATAATGAGAACACGCAACTGGCTTTACTCCCTTTGAAAGGGGCCTAGATGCTAGCATCGCTCATTTAAAGAAAAACACCAGACCATATGATTCTGATTGTTTACTTTGTCTTTTTAAAGATAAAAGAATACATGCACTGTGTGCAGTGCATAAAGATTGTTTCTTCAATCAAGAAATATCAATCCTAATTGCTGTTATAGAAAAAAAAGTATAAAAAAGGCGAGTATATGCTAAAAAAAATCTCCTTCAGTGTTGGCCTCATGGCAAGCTTCAGTCTTGTCCTTTTTATCTATTTATTCTATTTGAATTAGTACAGCACTCATCAATCAATGCATCAGCAAATGCTTCCATATAAATATGCTGGATTTAGCACCAGAGCTAAATTGAATCCGTTAAGGCAGGTTCAAATACTTAATAATACATTTAACAACACAGACATTTCTACAGGAAAGATTTAGACATTGGAAATATAAATAATATATATGATCTACAATTGTATATCCAGTTGTGTCCAGTTAAAGCCAATTTATGCTTCTGATGCATAGCCTCTGCAACCGTCAAATCTGTCTCTGTGCGCAACCACGCCCCCCGCTCAGAGGTTCTGCAGCCGTTGTGGCGCACCTCAAAAATCCTATCCTAACTACGCATCAGACGGACGCAAACCTGTGCAGACCTCAAGCCAAAAAGCAGCTGTGATTGTTCTTTGGTCTGCCTTTACGGCTGTCGGTGTGTTCTTTCTTCTCGATTGGCGCCATTTTTAAAAACCGAGGAACAACTACAATGGACAACTACGACGAAAGGTTAATCAGGGAGGTTCGGAAGTACAACCACTTGTACGATGCCTCAGACAAATTATATAAATATGCCAAGGTCTCTGCCAACTCCTGGAGGGAGATCTGCCAGATCCCTGAGCGGGATTCAAAGGAGTGTTTACAAAGTTGGAAGAGACAGAGAGAATAATACGTGAAGTTCTCGCGAGTTCTCAAATAGGCTCCCCCTTGCGCTTTGGCTGGAAACTGCTGTGCGTGCCTAAAAATTCCAGATCGATGGTGCAGAAGCATAAAAGCAAAACTGGTTCACAACCAGACCCAAGCGACATTTGATATGTGCGGCTGCAGAAGTCTAATCTGCCCTTTAAAAGAAATACCTAATGTATATCATTTTCATTACTTTTTTCAGTTTTTGTTTCTTTTGGGTTTATAAGAATAATGTACGGGTCGGTTGATGGATATGATTAACAACCTTTTTAACCAAACAGTCTCTGTGCAAAACAGTCTTGAGTACTTCTGAAATCAAAAAGGCCTTTAACGGTTTCCTGCAAAGCTCAGCATAGGTCACTTTCATATCAATCTCACTTTTGATCACATACTTGGTTTTGGCACAAAACACATTTGTCTTATTTTGGTAGAATCCTTGCAACACATAGGATTTCCACTTCCAACAACAAATACCAAAATACAGTCCCAGCAGGGAATCTCAAAGGCTCTTTGAATGAGTGACTGGCTCTTCTGAGATTTACTCACCATTGCTTTCTGATGGTGAGGGACAGATTTTAAAACATCCATCCTCCCTCCTCATTCTTTTTGCCTCCATAGCTATTTAGTCCCATATCTGAAACAAACTACGACACTAAAATTAATGTTTTAGAGATTTTAAGGAGATAATACTAGTATTATATTGATGTATTAATTTAAATACAGGGTACTTTACATAAACTGTCCTATACTAAAGCATTAAATACTCTTTCATTTAATAATAGTTTTTTATAACTTCTGTTTTGTTTTGTTTTTTACTTATAATAGGTTTTGTCGGTCCCCGAGGAGAACCTGGGATTCCTGGCACCAGGGGTTCAGAAGGTACCCCTGGTAGCCCTGGTATTCCTGGCCGAGACGGGTTTCAGGGTGATAAGGGTGCCCATGGAGAAATAATGGATGCATCACCTGGACCTCCAGGTGACCCAGGAATACCTGGCTTGCAAGGAAAAAAAGGCCAAACAGGAGAACCGGGACCACCAGGTTTTGCAGGTAAGCTGTGTGTTTTGTTTTCTTTTTTTGTTTTTTTCAATAGTGTTTGATATTTGCTTGAATATTTTTCTTAAACATATTTTCAGGAATAAATGGAATGCCTGGAATGATTGGCTTCAGGGGGCCCAAAGGTGCCCCAGGCCTGCCTGGGGAAGAGGGAAGACCTGGGCCAGCTGGCACATATGGCTACCCTGGTGATCCTGGTCAGTCTGGTCCACCTGGTCCGACTGGCGCTATTGGAGAGACAGGTTAGAGAAGCACACAACCACAGGAACAATCCATCAAAAATAGTTTTTCTCACTGCTCTCTGCTGGTACATTCCTCTACCTTATCAGGAATAACCGGAGAGAGAGGTCCAGATGGAGACCCAGGTCCTCCAGGTCCAATAGGGTTAAAAGGAATGCCAGGTGCTTATGGAGATGATGGCACCGTTGGAGAGCAGGGCCCACAAGGTGACCCTGGACAACAAGGTGCAACTGGAAGACCGGGAATTCAAGGAAAGAAAGGTCTGTATCTTGAAAGGTTTTCCTGCTTATTCATAACATGATAAAACAGAATATCTACCAAATGGTTTCAGCTAAAGTCAGATTGGTGTTTCTGGGACTTTTTTCTTCATAGGAGAGAAAGGTTCTCCTGGAACGTCTGGGTTTGGGGGTGTCGGTGGAAATCCTGGTCTGAAGGGCTTTGAGGGGCAAAAAGGAGGGGCGGGGGTGCCTGGTGAGCCTGGCCTGAAAGGTCAGACGGGAAAAAAGGGAGAGAAAGGTATGTTGCAAAGTCTTTGAGTGGAGTTCCATATGTGATGGGACTGGAGCGTATTAGAGTCATTTTAATTAATACCTGTTCCTGCTGGCAGGTGAGTCCGGTCTGACCGGTCCACGGGGGATTATGTCCCCCAAAATGCTTGTTGACATAAAGGGAGTCAAAGGAGATCACGGGCATCAAGGCGATCCAGGTTTTACCGGGCCAAGAGGTCTGCAGCTTTTATAATAGTGTTGCAATTTGCTCCAAATTCTATGTTGCCTTATCTTAATCATGATATAAATCCAAATCTTTTCCCAGGTGCCAAAGGTGTACAAGGTTGGCCAGGCCTTGATGGAGCTCACGGTCTGCCAGGAGACCCCAGTACTGAAAAAGGTGTTTCTGGAGATCCAGGTGCACAGGGCCTGCCAGGGGTAAAAGGAATGCCAGGGTCACCTGGTAACCGAGGCATTCAAGGCTTTGATGGAATGCATGGTAACAAGGTGAGCAGAAAACTAGAGGATGTACCTTGCTTAAGTCTTTGCTCAGGAAGTGATGCTTCGCTGAAGGTCCTGCTTAAGCAAAGCATCCTTCTTGATTTTCTTAGAGAACAAAGGTTTCCTTAACTTTCTATAGCAGTTGAACTGGTGCAGTCTCTCTATGACTTCCAAGACATGCACTTCAAATCAACAATAGCAAAAACCCTCTGTAGGACTGGTAAGACCACAAGACCTAGGTGTCTAATCTTATGGTATGTCTAAAACCCAAGGTTTTCTAATCAAAGCAGCAATTTAAAAGTGAACAGATGCCTGCACCCAATTTCTTACTGCTTTTTGACTTCTTTAGTCTTATTTTTTTAGATATGTTGTTGTTTTCAATTTATTTTCACAAGCTAGGTGTTTTTTTGTATCACTTCAAACAGGTATTTTACCATCAATGAGTTGATAATAGAGAGCCACTGTATATGAATAAAAATGTTACTAATGGGCAAAACTGAACGACAAATACAAGTCAACAAATAAAGTGTGAAAGTAAACTTGTTGGGAGATTTAATCTGTTTCATGTTTTTCTCTAGTTTTGCCTATTTTTTGTTCTAGTAAACTTTACATCAAATCAGTCTTCTTCGCATAACAGGTTTAAAAGATTTCAATTGACTTGGTTTGCAGGGAGGCAAAGGAAGCCCCGGTGCCTACGGTCAGTCGGGATTGAAAGGAAGGAAGGGGGCCAAAGGTGAAAACTCAAATCAAACCATAGAACATGAATTCAGGCTCAGTATTATGTAAATGTGAGAAAGTTGTGTGTTATGCTCCTAAATACAATAAAATATTACAGGCGATAAAGGCATTCGTATAGACCTTCCAGGATCTAAAGGACTGAGAGGAGAGGATGGATTTGATGGAGAACCAGGTACCAACTGGCCTACTACAGGTGTCCTTTATTCTTTTGTAATAGTTTTGTTGACATCAAAGGTATGATATTACCTCCATAGGTGTGAAAGGAATACTGGGACCAATTGGGGACATTGGTATAACTGGTTTTGATGGTGTCCAAGGAGTAAAGGGACAATCTGGAGATCCGGGAATAGTGGGTTACCAAGGTAAAAGACCAAACATGTCCTATAAATAATATAATCTTACAGATTCACATTCTATTTACAGGATTTTATTTATTTATTCAGGGTTGGACGGGGACAGGGGAACTCCAGGAAACCAGGGTCAAAAGGGTTTTCCTGGTATTCCAGGGAAAGATGGTCTGCCAGGCGTTCCTGGCTTCTCTGGAATTAAAGGTAACACAAATGAACCAAAATATAAGTATAATCTATCTAGAGCTTCCATATGTTCTAACTTTTCACAATAATACACATTTCAAATATTTTCAGGTTACCCCGGCCTTAAGGGTCTTTTTGGATTAGATGGACTGAAAGGACAACAGGGTGTCAAAGGAACACCAGGTAAAAGCTCTGAGGACCTCAGAGAAATTATTTCTCTTCAAGATTTTAAGAAAACATGTCAAGATTTTCTCCTTTTTCAAAATCTATTCATGTAATCTAGACCATAGCTCAAATTCAGAAAAAATGTGCACATAGTATTTAAGAGATTATGCTTATAATTTGACGCCCATAAACAAACTAACCACATTTTTATTGTTTTTATCTTTATATTGGCTAAACTGTTTAGCTTCTATAATGCTAAAGAGTTAATATAATGTTTTTATGCAAAATAAACGATACACCTTTAACTCATTCAAATTTGATCAAACACAAACTCTAATAAATTGTGATGGTATTTTACTGTATGTAACAGAGCAACATAACTTGAGAAAAAAAATTCTTATGTTTTAAAATGAATAAAAATATCAAAAATTTGCATTCATTTTTATGTATCCCCTATGAATGGGTCAGGACTGGATAAAACCACTTCTTTTTTTAGTTACACATGCAAGTCCAGAGAGGTTTCTAGCTTTGATGCTCTTAATATTAGCATTTCTGCCCCTCTTTCCTTGGAAACAGTTAAGGCAGATAGAATGGAGAGCTCCTTGTTTTCTCAACTTCATAGACATGTTTTAATCTAGACCAGGGTTTCTTAATCCTGGTCCTCAGGGCCCTCTGTCCTACAAGTTTTAGGTGTTTCCTTACCTCCACACACCTGACCTGAATAAAACGGTTATTAACAGGCTTTTGCAGCATTTGAGGGTTGTTGACGGGGAAATACAATCATTTGAATGAGGTGTGTTTGGGTAGAGACACATCTAAAACATGCAGGACAGTGGGCCCTGAGGACCGGGGTTAAGAAACCCTGATCTAGACCATTGGTGTCAAAATCAGATCCTGGACGGCCAGAGTCCTACAACTTTTTTTTTGTGTCCCATGCCTGACACACCTGAATCTAATGGCTAAACTGCCTTACAAGCCTGCAGTCCTTAACTTAATCAGAATAGCTTAAACTGGTAAGGAAACCAAAGGCCCGGTGAAATTGATCACCTTAGGTGCTATCCAAATAGTACTGGCAGTTAGGAAGGACCTAGAGACAGGAAAGCAGAATCCTTCCTAGCGCCAATTCAAAGTATACAGTTGAAGGGGTTGGCACATCCCACCTCATAAAGATTACCAAAAATAAATGATTTCATGACATGCAATGTCTGTTACACATATCAATGTCCTCACCTTTATATGTGTTAAATTTTACACTAGTGTAACGTTTGATTTTTGTAGTTCTTTACGGGAAGGATTTAGTCCCAACTTTATGGGCGTGTCCTTCGTGTAATGATGTCCTTAAGACTGAAGACTGTCTGGATTCAGCATAGTAGTCTGGAGCACCTTCCCTGCCCTACATAGTGATCTTACTGTTGCTGCAAAAGGAATGAAGGGATAGGAGCTAAGAAGTTAGGAGTTTTATTCGAATTATTCGGATCAAGCCAAGCTTTGCAAAGCTCTACTAAACATGTCCAAATATTCAGCCACATCTAATAGGTTGAGGACACCTTCCTTCAAAGACTGGAGTTTAAAACCACTGATCTAGACTATAATATTGATTTTTATGGCTCTATATTAAGGTCTGTCATCCTGCTGGAAGTGAAACCTACTCCAAAGTTTTAAATAATTCCATCCTCTTGCAGAGATTCTTAAATAATGGCTCTATAGTTTCATCTAGATCCATTTTTTTAATAGTTCAGACCAGCTTTAAAACCTGCTGGACAAAAAAATTCTTCTTCAATATGATGCTACCGCTATACCTTATCTTCTCATAGTATTTATTCTGTAATTAAAATACTCGCATGTGAACTGGAACGACTTTTTATGGGACATCTGAAGAGAAATGATTTAAATAGATTTGATTTAGGTTTCTCAATGTAGTTGGAGCTGCATTGTAAATATAAAACAAATTTGTTTCAGATTTTCAAAAAGTTTTAAAAGTTTTGTTGCCCATCCTCTTCACAGTAACATTGTGCTGGTCTTAAATGTAAATTCCTAATAAAATTCCTAATAAGTTCATGAGGATATATATGTTTTGTCTATATACAGATTTCCTTTTCTAAATAAGGAAAACATAGATCTAATTCATGCAGATGGAAAATGTTGTCTTGACCTGTAAAGATTTCTCTCTCTCTGGTCAATTCAGGTCTGACTGTTTATGGACCCATTGGAGAGACAGGAATTAAAGGGAATAAAGGAGAAAGTGGTTTACCCAATAGCGAGCCAGGTGCTCCAGGTCCAGCTGGTTTGAAAGGCTACCAGGGGCCTCCGGGTGAGCCAAAATCTTTATCTGCAGTATGCAACAAGCGCATGCTTCTGTGGGACTTCACTTTCACAAAGCTTGACAAAAACTTTACATTTTTAGGTGACTTTGGTCAACCTGGAGAACCAGGACTCCGTGGCCTTAAAGGACCAGATGGGAGCCCAAACATTCCTGGAAAAAGGGGGGATCCTGGCCTTCCAGGAGGTCCTGGATTGCAAGGTAAAAAAAAATAAATAAATGTTGCAGGAATAGTTGCTGTATCATATTTTCAGTCATTTGGATTTTTTTGTTTCTCAGGTTATCCAGGAGCAAGGGGACAGCCTGGTTTGGATGCTTTTCCAGGAGAGAAAGGTTTACAAGGAGACTATGGGTTCCCTGGTTCACCTGGTTGGAAAGGATATCAAGGAGATCCAGGTCCAGCGGGCTACAAGGGGGCTGATGGCGTCTTTGGGAAGAAAGGTCAGCTGTACACGAACATTCTCATACCATTCATTTATGGAAAGAAAAATAGCTTGGGAGCCTGAAAACAGAAAAATAGAAAACCCAGGCTAGCAAAACCACCAAAACTTAAAGATAAACAGATTAAATTTAGCACAAACCTTTAGCTTGTATGTTCTTCTGTTATAGGCTAAGGATGACATATCATCCTTAGCCTATGTCTTGTTTTGAAACAAGACATTTCCAAAGTTTCTCATAGTAGCTTTGCCTCGTCTGTTCCTGTTTGGCTGTGACACCATCCTGAAGAGAAATATCAGCTGCGCTGCTGCCATCAACACCTTTATTTATAGATGTTGGAGATCGGCCTGTTTTCCAGTGTAGTCCTGTTTCTCTGCCTGAGACTGGCTGGATGTGCTCCCCTCTGACATGGGATTTGGCTCGGAGCTGGTCTGTGTTTTTTTTTCTGGACCGGGCCGCCTTTTACAGCTGCTTTTTGTATCTCTACTTCTGTCTCCTTGAACCCCCTTGGCCTCAGCAGATGGCCGCTCACTAAGCCCAGTTCTGCTGGAGGTTTCTTCCTGTTAAAAGGGAGTTTTTCCTCTCCAATGTCGCTACAAGCATGCTTAGCGTGAGGGATTGCATTCGAGTCAATGAGTCGATGCAATCAACTGGTTTTCCTTTAATAGAAAACTTTGAATCAATTTGACTGTATGGTCTGGTGAACTGTAAAGTGCCTTTAGATGACATGTGTTGTGAATTGGTGCTATATAAATAAACTGAATTGAATTGAGCAGTAAAGAAAATTAAAAATGTTTAAAAAAAAGGTTTCTAATTGTGATCTCTTTTTTTTTTAACAGGACCAAAAGGAGACCAAGGTTACATGGGATTTCCTGGACAGATAGGTTTAAAAGGAGAGAGAGGACCAACTGGTCCAAAAGGAGACACTGGAATTCCAGGTCAGTAATTCCTCAATTATGATATATGCCTAGTATAAATCACTCAATGTTTTCAGATGGCTTTTTTTTGTGTATATTCAATAAAAAACTCTACAGTTATTACTACATACAATTATGCAAAAATGTACCTATAAGATATCTTTGCTCTGTGGCAGACTGTGATGTATTAAGGATGAGGCTCATTACCCAGAACATCATTCTGTCTAGAGACAACAATGATGCTCTGTACAGTTGTTAGCTAAACACATGATAGGATTTAAATAAGTAATTTGCATGTCTAGGTATGAAAGAGAAGAGGCTCCCCTGTTTTTTTTTGACAGTATAAAAACTCTAAGGGTATATATATGTATGCTGCCCTGCTGTGTTTTAAGCTGAATTTACATTCTTTTTGGCAGTTTTCTATTTAGTGGTAGAATGAAAGTTTTTTTTTTTTAAAGAATGTGGACTGCATGTTATTATCTCTAGTTCAAAATCTGAAATGCTTGAGAGCGAGGATTCCGCAATTTTTAGATGTACACCTTCTCCAACTCACCTGAAACAAATAAATAAAATTGTTTATCAGCTTAGATAAAGCAAATAATAAAAAACACTAAATTTAGACTTATTAAAATTGAGTAAAACAGGAGTATCTGGTATAATTTCCTAACTTACAGGCAGTATAAATGCTATGTCTTTGGTTTTTACCTGAGGTAATAAAGGAACCGTCTATTCCGCAGGTTATCCTGGGGCAGCTGGCAACCGGGGTCCTGCTCCACCTTCCATTCGAATTCCAGGAGAAAGAGGTCCTCCGGGACCACGGGGTATCCAAGGCCCGAAAGGATCTACAGGGGAGCCAGGACCTCGAGGCCCACCTGGAGATCCAGGTTGGTTATAATAGCGTTGTTACTGTGAAATATTAACAAATTTTTTTACTCCAGCCTACTGATCCCGAAAGTGTTTATGTAATCAAATATTTGATTGATAAAGTACGCAGAATACAGGGAAAGCAAAATAAAAAAATCTTTTTCTAAACAGGGTTCATGGGACCAATTGGAGATAAAGGTATGCCTGGGATTAGTGGCACTCCAGGAGTCCCGGGTTTCCGTGGAGACGTTGGAGAAGTTGGACACCATGGTCTCCAAGGAACGGAAGGTATGCCTGTGTAACACATAATCTTCATTAGTTACTGTGCATAATGAAAGCACCATAACTGAAGTGATTTTTCCTCAATAGGTCAAAGAGGCAGGCCAGGTATCCCGGGGTTACCTGGGATGGCTGGCCGCAGCATCAGCGTGGGCTACTTGCTTGTGAAACACAGTCAGTCAGAGCAGACGCCGATGTGTCCGGTGGGAATGTCTAAACTCTGGGACGGTTACAGTCTGCTGTACCTGGAGGGTCAGGAGAAGGCCCACAACCAGGACCTGGGTGAGTTTGTGTGAGCTACTGAACTGCTCTGCGCTACTATAAAAAAGTTAAGGTGGATTCTGTCAAAATTGTTGCTGATCTAGATTTCAGAAAACATTAATCATGTTATCATATCATCAGATGTACTGTGAAACTAAAAATAAGATGAAACCCTAAAACTTTCAGAAATCTCTTGTTTTTTCAGTTTGTTGTGTTTCTCAGCAGGGAAAGGCTCCCTCTCAGCTTGTTTTCTTGTCCACCTTCTTTAACTCATTTACTCTGAGGACTTTAAATTAAACAATTTAATCATCCTGAGAACTAATTTCTGCTTTGAATGTTTGCCAAAAAGTGATTAGAATCAGAGAACCTTTTGAGAAACAGAAATTCCTCCGATTTCTATTCTAAAACCTTTCCCACTGGATCTAATTTCTTTGAAAATGAGAAATATTCCAGAGGTGAAGCAGCATGAAGATAAAAAAAAAGTCTCAAAGCATAACAATGTTAATTTATTTAATCTTAAAATGTGCTCCTCTGATGTTTGTTCCCATTAGGTTTGGCTGGTTCCTGCCTCCCACGGTTCAGCACCATGCCCTTCCTCTACTGTAACCCTGGAGACCTTTGTTACTATGCCAGTAGGAATGATAAGTCCTTCTGGTTGTCAACCACTGCTCCCCTTCCCATGATGCCTGTAGAGGAAGGAGAAATTAAGCCATACATCAGCCGTTGCTCCGTTTGTGAGGCTCCATCAGTCGCTATTGCGGTTCATAGCCAAGACATCACCATTCCACAGTGTCCCGTGGGCTGGAGGAGCCTGTGGATTGGCTACTCTTTCCTCATGGTCAGTTTCATTTTGGGTATAAATTCTAGAAGTTGATCTAACCCTGTGAAACTTTTCACACCTTTGATGAGTTTTATTGGGAGTTGATGTGAGTTACCCTTACATTACAAAGTAGACATGCCTTTATAATCTGCTGCAATTAAAGGGATTGTCTCTACCAGCTTTCCACGTCTGATGATACGTTCAGTTCGCACGAGATAGAAGAAGCAAAAAAGCTTCTGCTGCTTCATTTTTTATGCTTGTACACATTAAGGTCAGATGCACCTCAAATGCATCTTTGACGCTCCTGAAGCTTGTCCAGTAAAGTGTGTAAAGATGCGTCTGATGCTTCTGCTGCTCCTGTGTTTAATGGCAGAGCGGCTTTGCTATATTTGCTGTTATAAATGGGTAAAGTAGTTCTTTTTTTTTTATTTTTTTTTTTATATTTATTTACATTTTTGCAACTTACGTAGCTAATCACATACAAGCCCAAATTTCGCCTGCTGTTCTTCACTTTTATAAATACTGAAATAGCGTTCCCATCATACTGTTGCTCGCCGCCTTGGTCCTGGGCTTTCCTCAGAATGTCCAAGGCATCCCCCTCGTTGTGCAGCCTTGCAGTGATTACGCAGGCCTTATCCCCGCTCCTCTCCGCACCAAGCTGGGGTGGGAGCGCTCGACAATCACTTCTTTGTCCATCAGAAAAACTTCTTTAAGGAGTTTTGAAACTGGATCCCAACCGCTCCGCAACCCCCGTGATCCGGTTATTGCCTCTCCTCCTTCTCCCCTCTGGGTCCTCACACTTATCTCTTAGTTCACCCATCAGCTTCTCAAGGTCTTTTAGTGTGCGTTGTGTTGATACAACCTCATCCGTCCATGTTGATAAGCCCTCCTCGACTGCTCCGACATTAGCCATCACATGCTCCAGCTCAGCGTGGATAGCCGTAGCATTATTAACGATTTTAAATCTCACTGCCATAAGTTCCCTCTTAAACTTTTCAAAGTCATCTGCCAGAGCAATCTTCAATTCCTCTCTTATTGCCACGGATATATCTTTTCTCAGTGATGAAAGGATGTCAGCCTTAATTGACTAGGTGTCCATGGTCGGTGTGTTACCGCCTTGTCGAGGTGGTACTACTTGAACTTTTAATCGAGGAGGTGTTTTCCGTTGTGGTGGACATGCCTCCGCATTTATATTTTCGAAGATTTGACACCATCGACCGCACTTGTACACACTTTGGGTCCTCCTTCAATGCTCTGTTTAACTTTTTGCGTGGTTTTGAATATAGTTTATTGATTGGATGTTGTTTAATTATGGAATTATAGCCTACTCCGCCTAAGCTCCAAGCCCCTTATATTATTCCATCAGTTCCTCGCTAGCGCCCCCCTAAAAAGTAGTTTTAATTTGTAATTATATTTCAAGTGAGAAAGTCCACCTGAGAACTGCATCTGTGTATACAGTTAATCAAGATTATGATCCTTCTTAAAATATCGGACTAGCACGAAACCCTGTACATCTGTCACTGGAAATCCCCTTCAACGGCAGCCTCTGGCCTGGTCGCCTCTTGGGGTTTTTACACTAATGATGGTGGAGGCTACATAATCCAAAAGCAAGCATATTTTGCTGGCAGGTTTTGACATTTTAAGTTCATTTAGGCATTAATGAACTGTTTCAGGGGAGTGATCATAGCGATCTGCATCAGCGGGGCTGTGTCTGTTTCTTTGCCAGTTCCCAGATCAGCTTCTCTGATTGGTTGGTGTGGCACGTCGAGCAGCAAAAGCTACATTTTTCAAACTCCAGCAGCTGCTATTTGTGCAACGCATCCAGCGCCCCAGATGCTCAGAATCTCAGAAGGTGCTGCTTCAGCTTTTCAGATACGCCAAGATGTGCTGCTGCTTGAAACGCGCTGCAGGACCTTTTGATGCGCCTTGATGTGCGTCAACCATTGAATTTGCCTGTAAATCAGCTGCTTCTGAACATAGAATAAAGACTAATCTTTATGTAAGCTTAAATTGATTCATAACATCACTTATCAGCAAACCTTTAACTAGGACATTTTAACAAAGTAACATTTGAACACATTTTAACATACATCCTGAGATCCACAGTGTCTCAGGATGTATGTTTAGCATTGTTACCCTTCTTGAAGGTGAACCTTTGTTGCAGTCTCAAGCCCTGAGCAGCTTCTAACAGGTTTTCTGTCCATATATTTTCCTGTCAACTCTGTCAAGCTTTGCTACAAATGCCGAGGAAAAGTTTTCCTCAGCTCCCATATTAAAACTTGCCAAGGCTAGACAATTACATTTGCAATATAATCACTATGAAAAAAAAGACACAGCTTGTTGATCTTATTGTCATTTAAGACACTAACTTTCTCAGTCCATCCGTTTATATGGGAGGTAATGTCCTTAGAGTTGACTTGCCACCACACAGAAAGGAAACACCAGTAACAGCTGTCCTCTACATCTGTGCATGCAAACTAGAAGCACATCAGTAGAGCTCTGTCATCATTTACTTTGGACAATATAGCATTAAAGGCTATGTAAGCACTGACTCACTGGAGCCAAACATATATATGTTAGTGGTTAGTGCAAAAGTGAAATAAAAAAAAACACATTATGTAGAAAAATGTAATCATAATTTTGATTTTTTTTTTTTTTTTGCAAAATCTTGAAGCCCTAATTCTAGAGTTTCTCCATGTGTTAGGACCTGTGTTCGCAGTTTTTTGTGAATAAGCAGATATCGCCTCATTAAGAGCACTACATCTCCATTAAATATACACCTGTCTCACTGGAATGCCCTCTCTCTTTTCTCTGCTGCAGCACACAGCAGCAGGAAACGAAGGCGGCGGCCAGTCCCTGTCGTCGCCTGGGTCCTGCCTGGAGGACTTCCGCACAACACCGTTTATCGAGTGTAATGGGGCCAAGGGCACATGCCACTACTTCGCTAACAAACACAGCTTCTGGCTGACATCTATAGACCAGTCTTTCCACAGCCAGCCGTCCGCGGAGACATTAAAAGCAGGCCAGCTCCTTTCACGCATCAGCCGCTGCCAGGTCTGCATGAAGAACCTGTGAGGAACTTTGCTTCAGTCTCCACAGAGAGGCCCAAAGTTCTCACCCGACAACAACTTTCATCCAAACCACAGTGCTCAGATATGCAATGACTGTGCAGTTCCTCGAGCTTAAATGTGCACTACAAATTCAGCAAAAAAAAAAAAAGCCATAAAAAAGAACAACTTCATCATGGAACAACTGTATTTTTATTTGTTATTTTGTGTGTTAAATTTGGTGCTTACTTTTTTAACTTATTACCTCAGTTATAATGACACAATGTTAACCACCTAAGGCCACAAAGTACAGCTGAACCAAAGATGCTTCTTTTAAACTATATCGTTTTTTAGTTTGGATCCTGTAGACCTGCTATAAAGCCACTAACGCTGCATCCCTGCCAGCTGAGGGTGACAAAGAGGTATTCTTACATTTCCGCCATCATTTAAACTGCTTGTAAAAAGCCTATTTTTTCTAAAAGTATACAAAGCTGTGCTCTTTTCTATGCATGTAACAACTACTGTTAGTTCATCTGTTTTTCATATGTTCACACAATGCACTGATTCTCTTAAGACATTAAAATAAAAGAAACATGACCCCTCTGTGGTTGTTTAAATCTGTTTCACGTCACTCACATTTTGCTTTAAGAAAAACTGAACAATTTTAAGATGGGACACAGCTTTGAGCCATATAGGATGTGATAATTATTCAGTTATAGTTAGAAAATTTTAAAACTGAATGCATTTCAGTTCTCTGATTTTTGTGTTTTTTTTTGGCTAGTAGTATCTATTCAAAATAAAATGCAGTGATCTGCAAGTTCATATTATTTTTTTTTTTTTGAATGACTGATTGTTTCTGTGAATGAGAGCAAACAAATCAACATTTGGGAAGCCTGTATTTTTAATCACATGTTCTCCACTTTGTTTCGTTTGGGTTTGGGTGTTGATCTAATCTGGAGTATCAAGGACAGTAATGTATGGTTGTGTTGGGAAAATATAAATATACTGATGGGAAAAGAAAAAGAAAAGAAACATATACTTTAAGCAAGAACTGGGGATTTAAAAAAAACTGGACTTCATGGAACTTCCAGGCTTGTAGGTCATTATTTAATGTCCCCATTTCCTACCCATAAACCCTGTTATAAAAACAATTAGTGGAGCTCCTTTAACTCAAAACACTTTAATAGCTGATAAATCAGTTTTTTTAATGATGATTTAATGTATTTGGGGTAATAATACTATTAATCCATTATGGATTTATGTGAGCAAGTCTCTGCCCTGTGATGCTAATACCTGTTTGTGTAACCTTTACCTGGAACTGATGTCAAGTTTTAATACGGTAATTAACCACAGTCTTTTAAATCTAAAACGAGGTTTGTTAAAATTGGGCCATTTAAAGATTTTAGAGTAAGAATGGCCTGTCAAGTAAGGTCATAAGTTAGTCCTGACTGTAACTAAATCATACTGAGCTCTATCTTGTTTTTGTTTGCTTTTGTTTTCTTTTGGTTGTCCAGATGTGGACTTTGCAGTTTGCTTTGGATCAGTGTCCTGCAGGATAAAATGCTTGAATGCAGGTAAACGTAAAAAAAAAAAAAAAGGCACATACCCCCAACACTCTTTGCTTTAATTAAATAAAGAGACAATAGTTCAGAAATATCAAGTGATTAAATCTGGTTGCATCCATCTATAAAAACATTGTTTTTGTTCTGATTCAGGTCTTTTCATGGGTTGACTTTTTTTCTAAACAGATCATAACCTTTCATCCAAACCAGATGTCCTTCTGGTCACAGACACTATTTACATACTACGAATAGATTTTAGTTGCAGAGGGAGAACAGAGATGGCAGGGTTTATATGTGACAACACAGCTGAGTCAGTTCCTTGTGTCAAGACTGAAAGTGTGCTGATGTCTCAAGTACAAGGAACACTTTTAGAGAGAGTAATATGCTCACTTTAGACATATTAGGATCTTTAAAAATATATCAATGTTAAACACAACCACCCAACATTAAAGAAAGGAGGGGGGGGGCTGTAGATTTATCTTTCTAGTCAATGAGGAAGCACTTCCCAGGTGAAAATGACAACTTACCTCATAGGAGGAAGGCATAAGCCTGACTTGGATTACAAATCTGGAAGCTTCATAAGTACTAAGAAGCACTTTAATAATCGATTAATCATAGACTTGAGTATAGAGACTAAAACATACCATTAGCTGACAAAGTAACCTACTTAAAGCAGTACTTTTATCAAAATTGTAAAAAAAATATATATATATATATATATATGTATAAACATTTTGCATTTAAGATAAATATTTTTCTCTTTCAACCTACTCTTTCCAAAAGTTTTAGTTTCACCTGGTTTCATTTAGCAAAAAGTCTTCTTTAAGGAACCTTTGACTACCCGATTAATAATCGATGAATTGAAAAAAAGAATCAGCAGATCCGTGGGATATTTGTTTTGCAAAATAATTATTTGCAGCCCTAGTTGAAAGCATCTCCAATAATCCTTATTTCAGTTAAAAGCGGCCCTTATCAATAGTCGTCTTTAATTGAAAATTAGTGAAAAATCTTTAAAGACCTTCTGAAAACCTGGAGGCTAAAAAAACGAAAATTAAATTTAAAAAAATCTGCATCTGGAAGCTTAAAAGACTATCAGAAGTACAAAGGATGACACACAGATGGACATCTTTTCCAAGGGTATCAGTGTGGCAGTTACATGCCGATAAAATTTGACTTCGACAGTGATAAGGAAAAAAGGAGTTAATTTTATAATTATAAAGGTGGTAAAAGCTGATTCAATATTTTCATTCTCTTGATGAGGTTATGTACTCGACAGAGCAGACAGGCATCAAAATAAAATTCTTTATTATGACGGCATATTTTAAAAAAATTTTCAACACTGACAGTTTTCTCATTCGCTCAGTTTCAATAAAATATAAAGATCAGCATCAATACTTGTAAAAAAAAAAAAAAAAAAGTTGATTAAAGTGAAATGTGATCAAAGTTCTACAATAAACTGTGAAATGAAAGATTAGTGCAGTTAATTTAGTGGGAATACAGAAGTAAAACATTTACCAACAGCAACAAATCAAACAAAGGCACATCTTTGGAGTCTAGAGTGCAGTTTGGAAGGTCCTATTGCATAAAGGGATATTTTCCTTCCTAATGTCTACACAAACTGGATCTACACTTGTGTTCTTCACATCTCTGGGAAATGAGTCTCAGTCAAGGCTAACTAAAGCAGTACCATCACGGTGACGTTTGGAGATCACAATGATAAAAAGGAGTCTGCAGGTGGAAGCCTTAAGGATTTATTTTTGGCACCGCTAACAGCAGCTGGATTTCCCCCGCTTCCCACTGGCCTCCCTGCAGTCCTCTAGATCCACCGTCGGGGAGGCCTGGTTCTCGTGCCTCTTTCTAAGGATGGACGGCAGGACCAGATCAAACAGTGTCTCAAACAGGGCGTCCACATTGTACCCGGTTTTGGCGCTGGTTTCAAAACACATCCTATCTGCTGGGAGGCTGCCCTTTTCGTCTAGGCCTTTGTATCGCAGTATTCTTCCGTAAAGGGCCACCGCATCCTCCCGTGCAACCTGTTTGTGAAGCAGCATACCAGACAGGGACGCGGGGGAAGCGGGAGGCGTGGGGCAGGCAGACAACACCTGTGGTTCTGTCCTCGCCTCCTCGCAGTCAGTGCGGTCCTCGGAGAGTACATCAGAGTCCTGACAAAGGTGAGCTTTGGGATCGGTTAGATCTGCCTTGTTCCCCACTAAGGCATAAATGCAGTCATGGTTGGCGGTATCAGTGAGGGACAGGAAGCGCTCCTCCAGCTCAGCGAGGCTCTGCCAGTTAGTGACATCATAGGTGAGGATGACAGCTGCTGCTCCACGGCAGTACATGGAGCCCAGACCATGAAACTGCTCCCGACCTGGAAAGACAGACAGAGGAGTTAACCGTTTACAAGAACCCAGTAAAATCTCAACACATAACCCAACATCATCTTAGCTCGATTGAATGGAGAGCATCTGAACACCAGATAGATCTGGACTTTGACTGGACCCTTATGTCATATAAAATGAAGGTAGTCTTTTAAAGTCTTGCTCTGTAATAAGCTCCATCACTTCATCTACTAGATTAACCGTCTCTGTTAAAAGGGCACCCTCACTGCACGACGCTGCCACCACCATGCTTCTTCATGGATGCCAACTCTTATGAAATCCTAAAAGCCATTTTTTTGTGTCCTCTGCATGAAATCTGGAAAACAGGACTCCAGTTTTTTTAATGCAATTCCTCGAGGACAGACCTATTTGGTGCATGGCTAATAACTGCCCTGTCCAGTGATTTTCCCATCAGAGTTGTTGAGTCCTCATGACCCGATCGGTGTCTTCTCAGATTAAAAATCTCAATCCTCTTCGCAAAACTACAAATTCACAGGTTTACGAATACAAATCACAGATTTACAAGTTTGAGTAAAACTTAGGGCTGGGCGATAATTCAATAACGATATATATCGATCGATAGACGTGTGGCTCAATAGAAAAAAAGAGAGTCGATAAAAGTTCGATAAAAAATAAACGCAGTTTTCCTTCCTTCTCATTGTAGCCTAGCATGTAGGTTTATGCTAGTCACTGCTTCCTCCCAACCAATCACAATCGCGGACCCAGTCACGCCGTCACAAAGCGCTGCCCTCTTAAACCACAACACAGAGCACATGAAGATGTCGCAGCAAGGAGAGGAGGAGGAAATTGTTCCAAAGAAGGGTTTTTGTAGTTCAGCAGTCTGGCAGTATTTCGGTCATGGCAAGTCGGACAAAAAACAAACCACAGTCATCTGTAAAATGTGTAGGGAACCAGTGAAAACGAAGTCTGATAACGCAACCAACTTTTTTTTATCATCTCAGCCGCTCACACCCGCAGGAGTACGAGCTGTGTAGGCCCCGGTGCGGCTCTCCTCCGAGGAATCTTCGGGAATTTTGGGAAAATATATATATATTTTCAGTTCTGGGCAGTTTCCCACGTAGTTCTAACAATTGAGATAAAAATGCTGAGGGGCCAGCAGGAAACTCAGCTTAGAAGAATGCGGGGGGAGGGGGGGGTCCATTTATTTATTTATATTTATTTTGGTCACTTTTCTGGTCACTTTAGTTTATTCTTTGTTAGCATTTAATAACAACTCAGGTCTCTTAAGTTATTTTTCTTTAAAACAATTCTGTTATGGTTAAAAAAGTTGGTTAAATAAAGATTTAATTCGAAGTCTGTGTTTTTGTTCTTTATTAAAGTTAAATCATTTAGCAATATCATAAAATGTCCAGGCAGAGCTGCACATAAAATATGGTTTCAAATCTTTTCAATAATTATCGATATCGATCAATATGCATTTTTTTTTAATCGATAAGCTTTTTTTCTATATCACCCAGCCCTAGTAAAACTTATGATTACAACTTCATACTTGTCAATTAGTCATTCTGTACTGCTTTCATGTAAATTAGTGATCCCCAATTGTAGATCAGTAATCCCTACTTTTATATTAGGGATCCCTACTTGTAAATTGGGGATCCCTGCTCGTTGATTGGTGATCCCTGCTTGTAAATTGGTGATCCCTGCTTGTACATTGGTGATCCCTACTCGTAGATTAGGGATCCTACTCGTAATTGTGTCACTTGTTTATGTACATTTGTGAATTTGCACTAGTATTTTTGCAAAGTTTGAACTTTCTAACTTGTATTTGTAACTTCTAAACTTGCATTCTCACAGATGAAGATCTAATGGCATGTGTATTTGAGTTGGCAACAAAGAACAAACACAAAC